CAGGATATATATTAGTTATAAAATATAGTACTTTATTTATTTATCAGGAAGAAGATTCTTCCTGATAAACCTACTGATGGCAAACAACTTGTTGAAGAAAAAAATTAGATAAGTGTTTATACTAAATTATTATTGTTCTGTTATTTAAGAAGATTGAGCACTTGATTTGTAGAATAGACTAATTTGAGGAGAACTTGAGAAGGTGAATAACAAAACAAATATATATATATATATATATATATATATATATATATATATATATATATATATATATATATATATATATATATATATATATATATATATATATATATATATATATAAGTGGTTCTAAAAACAATATTTTTTTAAAATGTCTAAGGGGACCCCCTAAATGTGTTCTATGTAATAAGTTAATACTACATTTAAAAAATAATTAAGGGTCTTGTGTGAATAAAAAAAAAATTTATTGAAAGATTTTTTTTATTCGTACAAAACCCTTAAACATCAAGACAAGTTCCTAATATTTTGAAAAAAAAAGTTCTTTAAAAGCATATCATGTTGGGTCTCAAAAGAAGTGAAATTTTATAAAAATTTAAAAAAAAATAAAAAAAATTTTATGAAAAGACAAATTGAAAAAGTTTAAATGAAAAAACTATGAAAATATGTAGTTTTTTATTTTTGTTAAAAAACCATAAAATTTAAACTAGTAATCTTTATATAAAATGATTATTGTTTTTGGATGTTTTATATAATTTCACTTCTTTTGAGACCCAACATGAAATTTTTTCAAAATATTAGGGACCCGTCTGATGTTTAAGGGTCTTGCGCAACCCCTAAAGATTTTTTTTATTCAAAAAACTTTTTAAATCTAGTATTAATTTGTAACATAGAACACATTTATCAGTCCCATCAGACCTATTCAAAAAATGTTGTTTTTAGAACAACCTTAATATATATATATATATATATATATATATATATATATATATATATATATATATATATATATATATATATATATATATATATATATATATATATATATATATATATATATATATATATATATATATATATATATATATATGTATACATACATATATATCTATATATACATATATATATACATATACATATATATATATATACATATATATATACATATACATATATATATATATACATATATATATATATATATATATATATATATATATATATATATATATATACATACATATATATATATATGTATATATATATATATGTACACATACACATACATATATATATATATATATATATATATATATATATATGTACACATACACATATATATACATATATATATATATATATATATATATGTATATATATATATATATATATATATATATATATATATATATATATATATATATATATATATATATATATATATATATATATATATATATATATATATATATACCAGGCTTGGTCGGGAAGCGGGAGTTATCGCTCTCGATTGCTGACCATTTTTTAAAATTTTCTCGTTTTGAGAACATTTTTAAAAGCAAAAAAAAAAAAGCGACGAAGATTAATTGGACCGATGAGAGACAATTACAAAAAAAAAAAAAAAAATAGGCAAATAAAATATCTTTAAACGCGAAAAAATTTAAAGCTAAATAAATTACATTTAGAACAAATATTTTCGAAACATCGCTCTTTTATAATTTTTTTTAATAAAATTAAGCGATGTTTTTTATATAAAGTAACAACTTACGATTGTTTAAAAGGGAAACAAATATTTTTTATTTAACTAAGTTTGCAAGTTTTAGTTTTACTTAAGCCTAATTTATTATATAAATAAAAAATTTAATTTTTTTAATACCTATTTTATGTTTCGCGTAATTTAAAAAGTTTAACATATTTGAAGCGATTCTTCTTAGTAAGATAAACAAATGAAATAATTAAATCATTGAATTACTATAAGAATTAAATTATCAAGATAGAAATCAACTAAAAAGATTAAAACTTACTTAATGACCAGGAAGCGAAACTGCATCACAATATCGCTGATGATGTTTAGTGAGTGGGCTTTTTAATTTCAATTAGTATTTAAAGCAGAAAAAAGTATAACGAGTTTAAAGAATGGCAACTTAAGCGAAAATAATTAGAGTTAGTAAACCAATATCTAGAAACTTTTCTTTATATCTAATTATTTGCTATATATATTTGTGTTCTGTTGTGACCTTAGGCGCGATGCTTGTTCATCCGCGAGTTACTTTGTATGCGTTGTTTGCTTAGTAACCAAAAACGTCTTATATGTTTGTTACATAATTAGTTATATTAACTTTAACGATAATATCTTCATTGAAAACGCAATTATTTTTGTAAGTCTTTGTTTAAATCATAAAAACTGCTTTAAAAGATACATTACGATAAAAAACAAATACACAAAATTAGATTTACATAAAGAATACACTCTCTTTTAAAGTAAAAAATAAGAATATACTAATAAAATCTATGATTTATAATAAACTTTTAAAATTTTAGCAACTTAATTAATATATATTTAAAACATTTATTTTCGTAAACAAATAATATATATTCTTAAAACAATGCTAAAAATCTCAAAACGTAACAAATCGTGAATAATACAATTTCTAAAACATTTTAACAGAGTACTCCAGAAATTTATTTCAATTAATCAGCGTATTTTTTGAACCAATAGAATTAGTTTGTTTGTTAATTTGGCGGGTTTTTAGTGTTCGCAAATATTTTTTTTATTCTTTCGCACAAAGATGTTTTGAGAACATTCAAGTTTTTTATGTTTCCATGTATGTCCGTAAAACAAAAATTTTTTGTTTCGTAAAAGTCTAAAAAACCTGGCCAGTTTTACGCAACTAAATATAACTTCCGTGGTTAGTATTCGAGAGCGATCGCTCCCGCTTCCCGACCAAGCCTGATATACATTACATATATATATATATATATATATATATATATATATATATATATATATATATATATATATATATATATATATATATATATATATATATATATATATATATATATATATATATATATATATATAAATATATAATAATATATATATAAATATATATATATATATATAAATATATATATATATATAAATATATATATATATATATATATATATATATATATATATATATATATATATATATATATATATATATATATATATATATATATATATATATATATAAATAAAATTTTGAAGGTAATTTTTAGTTAAAATTAACCGAACAAGTATAGAACATACTATATTTTGGTAATGAAACTCTTTCAGATGCAAATGTGGATTTCATTATTACTTTATCTGCTAATCCAGCAATTCTCATAAGAGGTTTTTCTTCCATTTGATTACCATAAACATCTTCAGGTAACCTTGAATAGATAAATGTTGACACTTCAGAAGATTTCATTTTCCTTACAAAATAAATTATCTTTCCAAGTAACTGTGGCTTCCAATCAATTTGCACAGAATCCCCTAAAATTAATCATATGAAATAACTATTTAAGGTTTAAACTTGATTCTTAATTATAAATTTATCAATATGAAAACAACACCTGATTTGTAAATACTTTCTCCATCAGGTGTTATCATTTTAACTTGACCATAAAATATGTCATCATTTTTGGATTGCTCACTGTCTGGCAGTGGATGATCAAATATAACCTGTAAAAAAGCGATAATTTTTGCATTATTTTAAAATTAAATTAAAAAAGAAAAAATCAGCATAAGAATTGTTATCATTGATTAACAGTTTTTTTTTTTCACAAATAATTAAAACTAAATTAACTAAAAATAACTAAAAAACTAAATTACATAAATCCAAATCTTATACTCAGTACAAAAACCTACATATTTAAGTTTATTAAAAAAAAATTAGTTAAATGATACTTAACAAAAGTTTAGGGAATACATGATAATTTAGGTAATTAATAAATTTGCTAATTAGTCAATTGTTTGAAAATAAAGCAATATTAGAATCAACAAAAAGTTATGATGCATTTTATGTTTTTGATATAAAGATTTTCTGGTGATATAATTATTTTTATTAATAAAATAGACACTTTTATGAAGAATGCTTCCATGAAGTTATAAACATAGTAACCAGAGTAACCTAACTCATACTTTTTAAAAAATACTAAAGAAACATGATGTCAAGTTTCTATTTACTTTTTTTATTTAAACTTTTAATAATTTTGATATTATCAATAAATATATTATTACATATACATATCTACAGATTTAATCAAATTTATATAATATTTGTCACAAAAACAAAATCATACATTTTTAAAAACACCAAGAAACATGCAGCAAAAAAAAAAAATTTTTTTAAATTGTTTTTGCAATTCTAAGCTTCTTCCCCATAACACAAGGATTCTTGAAATTAATTAACATAGTTATTTTTAAAATTTTACAATTTAGAATTAAAATTAAATCAGTAGAAAAAATATATTTTGTTTATGCAAAAATTGTAAATGTAATTTAACAGATTGTACAATCTAATTGGCGAAATTAAACAACTTATAAAAATTCTTCCAGAATTTTTTACTTTGTGGTTCCCATGAATTCTTTACTTTGTGGTTCCCATGAAAAAATTTTAAATCTTTAAGCTTTTTCAGGAAAGAGTTATTTGTAAGTAAAACTCAGTTTAATGGCTCTGAGGCCTGCTGGTAGTAAGGTTTCTCAAACTCTGTCCATTAACAGTGTCATAATGCGCATTGTGTCTCTGATAGCGACTTTAAGGGTCAAGGTCATACAAGAAGCCCTTTTTTCTGGCTAAGGGTTGAAATGCAATAACTTTAAAGATATAGGGGCCACTAAAGAACATCTTCTTTTTTTGAAAAATTTTGTTACAACATTTTCTCAACCCTTTAACACCAAGATATGACCTATGACAAACATGGTAACTGACAAACATGGTTGCTGACAAACATGGTTGCTGTCTGGAAAAGCAAGTTGATAAGCAAAGTTATTGCTCTTGACATTTCAAAAACTTTCAATAAAATCTGACATGTTGGTCTATTCCTTTTTTAATATGTTGTATCTGGGCAACATTTTAAAACTATTGTATCATTTCTTTCTAATGTTAGACCTTAAGTTGCCTTTGAAAAACATTCTTCATTTCTTATAAACTCTTGAGTACCACAAAGAAAAACATTCTTCATTTCTTATAAACTCTTGAGTACCAGTGACTTTGTAATATCTACTTGAGTACCGCAAAGATTTGTGTAGTAGTAGAAAATTATTTATTTTCAAAAAGCAAATTTAAAAAAGTCAGGGATATAAATCAAAAATCTATTTTATAAAAATGTAATACTAAAGGCTTAGTAAAGTAAAGCCTTTGAACAAAGACATTGAAGGAAGAAAAACAAAATAATTTCCTACATTTGAATAACTGTAAAACCATATCACTTAAAAAAAAAGTCTTAAAAAAATTTTCAAGTTCACAGAGCGATATAGATACTACAGTTACCAGAATATTAGTACTGTATAGACCTTAAAGTTTGCAGATTATTTGTACTGTGTAGACCTTTGCAGAATATTGCAGAATATTAGCAGAAGTTTGCAGAATATTAGTACTGTGTAGACCATCAAGTTAACTGAATATTAGTACTGTGCAGACCTTAAAGTTAACAGAATATTAGTACTGTGCAGACCTTTAAGTCAACAGAATATTAGCACTGTGTAGACCTTCAATTTAACAGAATATTAGCACTGTACAGACCTAAATTTGACAGAATATTAGCACTGTACAGACCTTAAAGTCAACAGAATATTAGCACTGTGTAGACCTTTAAGTCAACAGAATATTAGCACTGTGTAGACCTTTAAGTCAACAGAATATTAGTATTGTGTAGACCTTCAAGTTAACAGAGTATTAGTAATGTGTAGACCTTCAAGTTAACAGAATATTAGTACTGCACAGATCTTAAAGTTAACCATCTTAGTCAGGAAGGTGTGCGATCACGTGTCATTATATGAATATGCTAAATTATATTTAAATTTAATTAATGCGGTAGTGGTGTAGTGGTAGAGCGCTCGCATCATAAACGAGTGGTTCCGAGTTCGATCCCCACCACGTCCCTGGTAGTACCGCGCTCAACTCGTTTCTCCGCGCAGCGGCCTTGTTCGTCAAGGTTCGTGTTTCGGAGTTATAGAGTTAAGAGAGGGTTATAGCCACAAAATAAGTAGCCTCCTCGTCTGTAGTGGCCTTCTCGGCCTTGAGGAGGTGAAGTAAAATTAAAAAAAAAAAAAAAAAAAAAAAAATTCAAAAAGATAAAAAAATTTGTTTAAAAAAAATGATAAATGTTTTTGAATTAAATAAACTTAGTTTATACTATTAAAATGCTTTTAAATAAGTAACAAATCACTGCTAATGATTTTTTATATAAAATATTAATGAACATTCTACATAGTTTTTTTTTATTTATACAATTTTGAACTTATTATGATAAATGTTAATTTAAAAAAAAAAATTCTATAAATTTTATAAACAACAACTTTAAACAGTTATCTCTTTCATGAATATTTTATATGGGTTAAAGTTAATATTGTTAAAAAGGTAAAGAAAAATGTCTTTCATAAATATTTTAGATGGGTTAAAGTTAATATTGTTAAAAAGGTAAAAAAAAATGTCGTTAGTATACAAGTAAAAAGAAATAAAAACATAAAATGTTTAGCAGTCTGATTCTGAAGTTAAAATAAAACTGTTATTGCTGCTGCTTTGGTCACTACTATTGTTGGTTTCAATTCTACTATCAGGTCCTTTCACCAATTCAAGGCAAACAAATCTCTGTTTATTTAAATAGATAAAGACAGCACTATTCAAAAGCTTGTCTTGTTCATGAAAGGTAATTCTTTGATCATTCTTGTTTGTCATTATAGAGTCTTTCGATGTCTGGTGGTTTACCTTGAAACGGGGATCAGTTAGTATTACAGTCAAGATATTGACTAATAATAGCCTTTTGAAATTAATAGCTTTTTTAATGTAGTTAATGCACATAACACCCAAATTATTTATCATTAATAGAAATACTACTAAATAGGCAGAGGTAACTTCTTGTTCAACCCGCACAAGAATTAACTCTTTCTCACCTTTTGTTTTCCTGACCTGAAAGCCATCAAAAAAAATGGAGAATAAGTTTTTCTTTTTAACGATTTTACTAATTTTATTTTTAACTGCATCAGCAATGCATGAGATAAATTTACATGCTAAAAAAAAAAATTATTTAGAAAAACAAATTTTTAATAAAAAATTTGATTTTTATCAATTCTATTAGTAATTATCAAAATGAAATCGGAAAATCAATAACCTGCTTTATTGTTGCTTTTTCCTTCTACAAAACACCATTATGTTTTTGAAATTTTATGTGTCACAAAATTGGAACGGGACATATTTGATTTTACAGCCATTTCATACACTGCACTTATCATCTTTGAATTTCACGGGTGTTTTATAGTCAAAGAGT